GCTTGGGGTCCACTTTTCAGCAAATAAGGTTCTTAGTGATGCCAGGGTCATAGACCAAAAGCTTGGTGGAAACTTGAGCTCAGGAATGCTATAGGTGTGGCAAAAGAAATGCCAAAGGGGGTTTGTGCAGTTACTGTAGATGGCCTTAGAAAATGGCTATAGCTTGCAGAGGCAGGAACTGCTGGGACAGGCGGACACAGGCACCATCAGACAGTGAAGCCAGGGAAAGGAAAGCAGCACAGAAAGGTCGGGAGTAAGGGGCTGTTTGTCCACTTCTCTCAAGAACTGAGGCTTGCTGAGTCATCGTATTTCTATCCTACCCTTGCAGTAACAGGACGTCTTGGTGACCTGCTCTTTGGGTGATGGTTCCTAGTTGCACCCACTCGAGGGCTGGAGGATGTGAAGTTTGCTAGCTGAATCTCTGAAAATGAGGCATGTGCACTATCTGTGCCTGTCTTCCAGGGCTCTGGGCTGGGAGCAGCCCCGGAGGCCACACAGGACCGACTCCATGCCATCCAGGAGAAGATGGAAGAGCGTCAGCGCATACTCGCTCTACCCCAGAGGTTTGCAGGCAGCAAGCAGCTGAGCCGGCGGGAGATGGAGATTGAAAATGCCCTCTTTCAGGGAACAGACCGACACTCCTTCCTCCGGGCACTCTACCATGAAGGTTTGTGGGCTTAAGACTGTTCCTGCCTTTTCTCCAGCACGGAGAGCTGGGGTGTGTGGGAGTCCAACACATTTCTGTCTGGCCTTCTGTCCCTGAAGACATGGTTCTATTTTGGCACTGTGTGGGAGGAGATATTTTCCTCTTACATGAGCAGAGAGAGAGTGGGCTCTCTGAAAGGTTTAATATAGAGGCTTGTAAAGTCCATCTCTGGAGAGCATGGATCTTGTTGATGTGCTGCATGTAGTGCAGAACCCAGCTTGATATGTGGAAGAGCAGCTGGGATTATGCTGTGGTAGAGCTCAGAGGTCCCCACTGAGCTGCACGGAGTGACACAAGGGGCCTATGTGGGGCTGGAGATCATCCCTTCTCTGATTTAACTGCAGTCTAACAAGAATGGGAGAGAGGCAAAGGCACAGAGCAGGAAAGAGTAGGAGTGAGTTGTTAAAGGCTCCTCCCAGTAGCCAAAGTTGGAGCCCAATTGCTGATTCCTAGTACCGTGTCCATGGGATGACAGCAGTTCTTGCCCCAGCAGTGTTGTCCCCGAGCCTGTTGTCTTAATGTGACTTTACTGGATGGAGAGTCAAGTGAGGTCCAGAGATGGCAAAAACTGCTCCAGTCTACTTTAGCTGGAGAACATGGCATGAAGCTCCAGCCCAGACTGATTTTTGTATGTAAGACAGTATTAAATAGAGGAGGAAGAACTTCTAAACTAACTCCTAGCTCCTAAAACACCGCTTTGATCAGTGTTGACACTGTTCAAGCTATAATGTCCAGCTGATCCAGCATTCTCTGGCCCCTGCTCTGGTGTCAGTGTCGTGACATTTTAGCAAAACCAAGAAGCAGCAGGGTTGAGGCTCGTAGGCTGGGAGATGCCCCTTTCACTTCTGTCCTCATTTCCATTAAATAAAGGAGATATTGGTCAGTCCATGCCATGGACCTTCTTTAAACTCGAGAGCTTAATCTGATGTTGTCCTTGGAAGCAAAAATTTTATATTCCACTTAGCAGTGTAGGAAGGCAACGTGGCACATCCTGGCCATGATGCAGGAGGAGGTGGGTGTGTTGGCAGATGCATGGAGGCTGGATTGGAATGGAGTTTCTCCTGTCTGTGTCTCTTCCTGCAGTCTGTGCGTTTTTCAGGATCTTGGTGGTATTCAGATTACCATGTTTCTCCGTTGTGGATTAGATGACACGCAGAAGAGGGTAACAGATGAAAAGGACCCCATGGTTCATCTGGAGAGTGTTTACCAAGAGCTACTGAGCAAGACGAGGCCTGAAGAAGTCCAGCCTAGCAAGAGTGACCCATGCTTGTGCTCTTCTCTGGCCCAGAAGGGGCCTGTGGCTGAGGAGTCATCACTTCCAGACCAGGAAGAGCAGGCAGAACAGGCAAGAAGTCCCAGCCTTCCTGCAACAAGGCCCCACCAGTCTCCTCCAAGGCTTGTGATTATCAAAGAGCCTGTAGAATTTGTCCCGGAGGAGGAGATCTGCAAGAACCGTCTCTCAGAGGAAGAAGTCCGGAATATACCCAGGTTCTCGTCTTACCATCCTGGGGAGCCCAACAAGGTACGTTGAGATGAACCAGGATTTATTCTTCTTCTGTGCTACCATGCCCTGAGGCTGCTTCAGCAGGCAAAGGCTCCTCTTTGCTGTTGCCTGTAGGGTGCTTGGTTGATCCTCCGAGCCAAAGGAGAGCAGCCTGCACTCTGGGAGCGAAGAGGACTTTTGGCTCTAGTGGGAAGTCGCCCAGCCTGGCAAAGAGCTGTACTTCAGACCCTAGCCCTTCCTGACTCTGGCAGGTCACTGGTCAAGATGCCTTCTCCCTGTTTTGGCCTGAGACCAGCTGTGACTTTATTCAAACTGTGCTTAACTGGCAGCTGGAGCTTGTTGCATTTTATAAATAACTGGAGCTATCAGCACTTGGCATCATGCCTTGAGTCCAGAGCTGCCTTTCACCATACATCCACCTGTCTTCCAAACTCCACTGTTAGCATGTGAGTGGAAGGTCTCTGGGACAGCAGAGGGGCTGAACTAATTCATATCTTTGAGGTATGCAGACTTGGGACCAGGTTGAAAGATGTCTGTTTGCATAGCACAGGCTGGCTGACCCTCTGTGTCTGTGGAACAGGTGCTGTATTTGAAGAACCTGGGCCCTCGAGTGACGATGAAGGACCTAGTGTCTTTGTTTGCTCGGTTCCAGAAGGAAGACAGCTCACCGATCCAGTTCCGCCTCCTGAGTGGCCGGATGAGGGGTCAGGCTTTCATCACGTTCCCTGGTGAGTTGCTGCCTTGTGCCTCTCAGTTCTTCCCTGATCCACAAAGGTACCACATCTTCCTGCAGGGCACTGGGCTGGCACCAAGCCTGCTCTCCAAGGAGAAGGAGGGGAGTTCACTCCCTTTTCTTCCTATTGTGTCATAGTCGTCTTCACTGGATTGGAAGAGGATTCATCAAAACAGAAGGGCTGCAGTGGCGTATTTATATTCAGCATGCCACTCTGGCCGGAGGATCCCAGTGCCGCACTGTATCATGGTGCAGGCTGAGGGTCCATGAGCCAGGAACATCTGTGTGAACATCACATGTGTCTGTGCCAGAGCTTGCTGTGTAACCTACGCCCATTTTGGTCTCTTGTTGCAGATGTTCAGTCAGCCCAGGACGCCATGTTGTTGGTTAATGGCTACAATCTGCAGGGGAAGCCACTGGTGATTGAATTTGGGAAAAGCAAGGGGCATTCGCCAGAGGGTGATTCTGCCATCCCCTGCTCCTCTGCTGGAGAGAACCCCCCTGCCAAGTAAGGGATGGATAACTGGGAACCTTGTTGATCTGCATGGGCCATGGGAACTCCTTGGTTGTAACTGGGACAGTGAAGGGCTATTGGGAGTTAACCTGCAGGTCCATAAATCTGAAAGTGGGGGAAGTGAGAGAGCTGAGGACTGGGCTCTTCCTTGAGAGAGATGGGCGCTGTCTTTATACTGTTGGGGTGTACTGGCTTTTTCCCCCGGTTCTACATGTCTGTCTGCCTTCTCAGCCCTTTGTGGCAAGGAGAGAGGGGGAAGCCATGTAAATAAATGTATTTATTGTGGTATTTCCTTTAGTGTGTGTTTATTCACCTTTGTTCTGTGCAAATCTTCTAGAGCCAAGTGTGCTTGCACTCTGCTGATGCAGGACTATGTCAGCAGAGTTCAGTCCTGGCCTCTTTGCTGGGAGCTACAGTGCCTGACTGGTGCGGGCACTGCTGGGGCTGCTGCCCCATCTCTGGTGGCAGCAAGTACATTGCTTTAGGACAAGAAAAAAGGATGCCCCTTTTCTTCCAGACACTTTGGCTGCACAGGTATCTAATTACACAACTGCTTTATGATCACAAATGTCTTGACTCCTCACTCTTGATCCCCATAAAGCCCTGTGGCATGGAGGATGGTTGCTCTGGTGGGGTACCATTGTCACAGATGCTGTGGTTTATCTGCTGACCTGTTTTAGTGCTTTTTGTGAACAAGGCCAGCTAACGTCATATGCTTTCCACAGTATCCCAGTGCTCCTGAGAGAGCAACATCCGAGCTCTTGGTGATGGTGGCTGAGGGAACCCAGGCTTTCCCAGCAGAGCCAAGTGGCATACTTCCTCTGCATAGCTAAATACAGCCATGTGGAGAAGAGGAATGTTCCCAAGAGTGGTTGGTTTTCTCCCTGCTGCCATCTCTTCCTCTAGCCTGCATGATGCCCCTCACAACTGTCCTTCTGGTAAAGGCACTTGCAACAACACACAGATATGCTGATCTGGACAAGGGTGCACTGGGTCTACAAGGGGGTGATTCTGGTTCAGAGCAAATTGAAAAATTGAAAGAGAAAAGAGGCTGTGGTGTTGCCGAGCACCAGCTTTCTGCTGGTGCTGGCAGGCTTTGTTGTGTTGAAGCTCCAGAGGCGCCAGCATTGCTGTGGGGTGGTTCTGGGGCGCAGAGCTGTAAGCAGACCATGCTCTGCCCACCCTGTCCTGGCAGGAGAGTAGGGCCATGGCAGAGCTAGGCCCCCGGGGCTGCCTTCAACCCCACCCCCGGCCGGGTGGCCAAGGCACAGGTGTGCCG